ACTTGGATCCTGCAGGAAATCCAATGTCTTTTACAGAACTTGTTATCAATATTCTATCAGGTAACTTAAAATATCTGGAGTTACTTATGATTCTTACACATTTTGGTTTCTAATAATTAAAGGCATTGTTTCCTAGGTCTTTAACTACATAAAAATGTCTCTTCTGCCTCCAATGATGAAATGTCTTTTAATCTTTCTAATGGGATTAAAAATGCTTCTGAGAAGAGCTCACATGCATATATGTCAGAGCAGCCAATTTTTGTCCACTGCTCGCTCCGTATATTCTATATCCAGTTTGGAAAATACCAGCACCTCCATGACTGATACTTATTCAGTGAAGACGAGACTCAATTATTCTAGATATGGTTCATCCAGTGGTACATTTAGCTTCAGCAGGGATGCTGGTCTCAGTCAGAGATCCTATATTTCGAAAGACTCCAAAATTGATCTATCAGAGAAGAGTCAGGATTCTTTTACATTTAGCTAAGAGGATTCCCATAAAGGTTCTGGTCTCAGTCAAAGATCCTATATTTCTGAAGACTCCAAAATTGATCTTTCAAAGGAGAATCAAGATCCTTTTGCATTTGATGTAGATGATTTCAGAGAACTTGATGACAGTTTGCAGCTGATTATGAGCCAAGGAGCATAAAGTAATGGAGAAAACCATCAGGCACATGAGACATCCTATTCAGGCGCTGTTGGAGAAAACCATCAGGCACATGAGACATCCTATTCAGGCGCTGTTGGTAGAGAAGGTAATTCCGCAGTCCCATTTTTAAAACCTTTATAGGGGTGAGGTGAGATTATTCTCATTCTTCTATATAATGCTGGATTTGTTTTTAGATTTCATGCTAGAATCATGTGATACATATATGTTGGCGAGTAGAGTATATCCTATTCTATTTGGGTTTTATTTATTTTCCTTTTGTATAGATATTATGTAATTAGGATTCCACTTATTTCCTAATTAAACCCTACTAGGGTTTGTAACCTGTATTATAAATACCTCCTTTCGGAGAATGAAATATATCAGAAAATATTCTACCCATATTGTTTGACTATATATATATATATATATATATATATATA